GAGGTAACACACTGAGTATACAGTGCATGTTTATACGTCGGTGAAGGGCAAAACCTAATTTGATTTACATCACCCCGACGCCCCCCCCCAAAAAAAAATATCCATCCTATGAATAACCAGCAGCCTACCCCAGTATTCAGGATCCCACTTAGCATCCAGTCAGAATTTCCCGCCTACACGGTTCACCGAACACTCGGCACCTGGCAGTACTTAAACCACCATCCCAACTAGAGCCCGGCATTCTCCTGATGACGAACAGAGCATACTGTTCGAAACGTCGAGTTAAACCAACGGTTCTCTTCAGAACCACACATACTCACAAAAGAGATAGTTCCACATGGTGTTACCGCAAACCTCTCACTTATTGATCTTTCCACCATGCAAACCCTCAAGTCTCATTTAACTTGAAACCTTTTTAGACAATAATTTTGGTGTTTTTAATTGTTTTTTGCTTGGTCTGTATTATGTGTCTGTCATTGTGCAGGGTTGGAGAGACACGCCCTATTGCCGACAGTGTTTTGTTTCACTTTTATTTTTCTCCTTGGCAGCCCTGCACTGTCCACGTTCTGTCTTTCGTGTGTAGTGTTTACTTGGTTTCTTATTGTTTGTATCCTTTTGTTTTAATATCAAATTTTATGTATTTATTGTAATTGTGTGTATATATGTGGATTTGCCGAATAAAATATTATTATTATTAAGGCTGAAATTTTGACTCGTGAAATTCGTTGCTAATTGAAATAATATTGTGCATTTTTATTTCAAGGTGCTATGTTTGATGTTATTTATATTTTTAGGCTAAAGACCTCCCCCCCCCCCCTGCATAAAACGTGCGCTTAAGCGGCATGGTAAATAATAACGTCCTTTTGCCGGAAGTAACCTTGGCTTTGCGTACCCACTTCAGTGGGACGTTAGCGCACTTGGAACACAATTATTTTGTTGTAAATAATGAAAAACCTTCCGTCTTTTTCATACTGTTAATAACGTCAGAATGACGTAGCCCCTTAAGACAAAATGTGTATCAAATGAAAGATTTTTCCATGCTCTATCGATTACCCGAAAATCCGAAGTAAGATGTAGGCCGACAAACCTTTGGGGAAACGCATGTCTCGTGACCAAAACATACACAAGTTCTGCCTTTATTATTTGCTTACCCCGTGCTCTTAAAATATGGATTTTTTTCTCCTAGAAAATTTTCAATTTGTATGTATACCGATTTTGGGCGTCTGCAACCATCTGAAAGATAAATGCTTTAATTTTGCACACAAATGAACCCGCCCTGCCTACGGGAGCCAAATAATTATTGTCTGGCAGCCAATAATTCGAATTTTGGGAAGAAATTATTCAATATCTAAACATCGATGGATTTTTTTGCTCGATGTGTCATTCAAAAGTAAATAACTTTTAAATTGCTAGGAAAATAACCAGTGAAAAAAAAGAAGCCAAAAGAGAAAAAAAAACTTTACAAAGTAAAAACAAATTACGCCTTGACGCCTTGAAACAAAGAGGAAGGAAAACCCACACAGGGCTAATGAGCGACTTGAACCACAGGAATGATCCGATGGGAACAGACAGTAGATGAAATGTACATGTAGTATGGAACGTGGCTTTTAAGCTGGTCTGTTGAATGAATTTGGGAAGGGGGACGCTACTAAACGTAAAGGTATAAACAACATTTGCTAACATAAAAAAACGACCTACCAAATTATTATGCCGTACTTAAAGTGAATAAAGTGAATAACAGTCAAGCATCATGTGAAATACTGTCATTTTCAAGAAAAGTGAAATTTTGGTATCAATTTCCAACGATGGTCACATGACCATCGTTGGAAAAAATTGAATTTACTACTCCCCAATTTACCAAATGTAGGTAGTCCACATTTTGTATACACATCCTTGAACGCGTGCAAGCCAGCTAGTCTGGTTCCAGGCTCTGACCTGACAATTCCCAGACGTCTATCCGTTCCGTCTGAAGTAAAGTCAGAGAACCAGACTACAAGAATATATAGCATTTTTCTCGTTTTTTCAGCATATGTGAACAAAAACCTCACGAGCAATTTAATGTAACAATATTTGCTATAAAATACTAACACCGAAATTTATCCATTTCTGAAAATTACAGCAAAGCAAATGTTTAATGTAATTACCTTCAACACAATGAAATCCTATACTAAGACAGGTAAACATTAGACTGAAAACAAGTAAGTAAAAAATGTAAACTAATTTTCCTCTCATTACATTAACAAACACAAAACGTAACTTCAGAATACTACATTTTTTAAGGTTCCAACTGCCAATGTAAACCCCTATCTTTTATTCTTTTTAGAGCCCAAACCAGACCCGCCAAACGTACCAAACCGAGCCAACCTAACCAAATACCAAATAGACCGGGAGCTAGGTGGAGTTTAGTAAACAATTTGAGCACAAAAAGGTTTGATGGTACCAGCTGGCCATTGTCCGTCGGGGGGGGGGGGGGGGGTAGTTCAGAAATGGCCATTCTTAAGTTGCCCTAGGTCGGATGGGGGTCAGGGGACCAAGGTCAAATGTCCAAAATTTCGATTTTAATTTTGTCGCGAAGAACTTTTTCGAGATTTTTGTACGCCCCCTTTCAAAATAAAGCTCCGCCCCCACAGTGAGAACATTCCAAAGTGGATCTCTCTCGTAAAAATATGTTCAAGCTCATTTGAAGTTCAACCAGACCTGCCAATTTTCATGGTGTTGCCACGAAAATGCACGATATTTGTCACAATTGGATCAAACCACTCATATACACCACCCCTTTACACATTTAGGCCACGCCAACAAATTGGGAGAATATAATGACGTTTAAAAATGCTATAATGTTTTATGTCATGTTTATATTCAAGGCATGGGAAAAAGAATGAATGTATACAGTTTTTCTGAGTTCTTATTCCTCTCCCCTTTTTGAATAAAGTTCCGCCCCCAAATCGGCAAGATTCAAGGTGGGCCCATGCACGCACCTCTAATAAGCCTCTGTACTGATGACGTCACACTTGTATACATGATTCTCAGACCGTTTTGGCTCTGAACGCCAAACTTCATGCTCTTAGGCCTATCACAATTTGGTGCACGGCTTGGCCAAAATAAGGGGCTAAGCAGCTGCACTATTACCCAGGATATAATATTCGTGTATTTTGTATTATATGAAATATTTAATCTTTAAATTATTCCGACTTTTTTCCAAAGTAGCATTTTTGGTATCAGGGGTCAATCTCAACACTTTAATCCAAAAACGGCACTTGTGCGGGACATGCTAATTAAACTAGAAATTTTGAACATTATTTTGACCTTGGTCCCCTGACTCCCATCCGACCTAGGGAACTGGGGGAGGGGAAGTCCCCCGGCCCTCCCCCTATTGTTTTTTTTTTTGTTCGAAAAAGGAACCAGATTATTATTTTTTCCCTTCCAGCTTCGCTTTGGTTACGTTAATTTGAATTGGAAAAACCAAGATGGCCACAACATGATAATGGTCTATTGCAGCCTCGACTCCATGGGCGCGTGCGCATTCCTTCACAACCCCTGGCCGTGATGTACACGTAAACGATGCTGACTGGCTATTCAGAGCGTCCTGCGCGCATTGAAGATTGCACGCCGGGCACGCCCATAGGGCGCTCGCGTGCTTTGCACGTCACGTCACGTACGAAAATTGTTTGTTATTCAAAACTCGCGATGCCTGTGCGATACAACCTCGTCCCCAGGGTGTCGAGCAGTACGCGTCCACCACTACCTGCTCTCTCATTGGAAACACGGTTGGAAATAAAGTAAGCACTGGGGACGAGGTTGTGTGCGATATGGATTATGGCAGCCTCGTTTTCCGCTAAAAAAAACCCCCGTATCTTCTGTTGTAAAGGGACGAAAGGGGTACGTACATTTTAATACGAATCTTTGCTAAATAACGCAACGGCCAAACCTTATGTTTGAAAGGATTGATTCTTCCAATCATAACTTTCAACATTTTAAAGATGGCATCGGCGCGTAAAACGGATAAAGTGCAGCTTAGGCTGCATCCGAATCAGTTGTCTAGAGCTATGTCTAGGTCTGCGCCCATTGAAAATACGCGGGGACGCGCTGACAATAGACGTAGCCTTAATCATAGTGTGCCATATTTTGACACAATAGAACGCTTGCAGATGCGTTCGATACTCGACGCGCGAAGGCACTGCGCAATAGCCGTAGCCTTGTTGCCATTTTGTGATTGGACGATTAACGACGTTTGGTTGTTCGCAGTTTAATAACTCCAACGTACGCGAGTACGAGGTGCGTATATCTTGTATTGTTTTTATATTGGCAAAATAAAATGAATGAATGAATGAATGAAGTAAAGAAAGGGGTTGATTTATTTTAAAATCAAAACAATACTAAAAAAGAAACCAGGGATCAAATTTTATACGGAAACGTGAATATGTATATAAAATCAATAAATTTAGATGCATAAAAAAAAATCTAAAGAAAGAAGTAATTCTTCCATTTCTAACTGCTTTATGCACAAATGTCCAACGAATCATTGCGATGTTCTTTGGATAAGATCATTCCATTTCCATTTTACATCGAACTGTCAAGATCTTCACACATGGGTTTTGTGAAATGATAAAGTTGTTCCTGCGCGATCTGGTCTTGTATGAGTTTGTACACGCCCGTACGTAATGTACATGATACGTACGTCCATTGAACCCAACGTCGTTATTGTTTAATCACAAAATGGCAACAAGGCTACGGCTATTGAGCAGTGCGAAGGCGCGCGACGCCATGTTGTGGGACAGGCGTATATCTATCCATGCACATTTTGTCCCATAACATGGCGTCGTGCACCTTTGAGCTTCGCGCGTCAATTATCGATCGCGTCTGCAAGCGGTCTATTCCAGGGGTTATGATCGCGCAAGGCATGATGGAAAACAACATGGCGCTGCAAGATCGTACCCTCGTGGCAAGAGGTTGGGGAACGAGGTTGGGTCTATTGTTCTATTCGTCACAGGTTGTTTTTTTTCCGGTCGCTACATTGGCGCTTGGTGGCGCCATCATAAGAGAGCGGCCGGCCATGCATTTTTTGACAGATTCTCGGATTCTCGAGTAAAAATGTCTCGAAAGCTGACTGGACATGCATCGCCGCTAGACCCTAGGTGAGTACGATATAGGCTCAGAGCTTTAAATTATTGTCAATATTTTACAGAGAGTCCGTTCTGCACCCAAAGGTGTGCCTGATTCAGTGATTGTGGTAATCGTTAGTCCGAGTAACTTGGCATGCTTGGCCGCAACTTATCGCCTCTTTGACATTCGGACATATCATGATATGCCGTAGCCCCATAAATCGGTCATACTAAAAAGCGTCAACACAGCGTCAACACACTCCAAAGCGTCAACATTGCAACACGGCGTCAACACAGCGTCAACACATCCAAAATGCATTAAAATTGACAAAAGCAGTATGTAACCCATACAGTATGGGCAGAAACAAGATTTTGGCTTAAAATCAATAGGTTAAACGTCTGAAAATTGCGATTTTCAGTTCAAGAAAATTGGCTCTCCGTGCCGCTCCGAGATCGGCTGCCATGTTGCCTCAGTGGCAGCGCGGACCATACCATTATGCTAAAGGGTGATAGCGTTGTACAATAAACCTCAGTCCCTCATAGATCAGAGTGCACTGGTGTCCCTCTCTGCAGCAAGGCGCCCTCTGTTGTTTATGACAAGATTACCTACACACCCCTACTTTAAATGGTGTAGTCCAAGCTTTGTGCGAAGTCAAAATGGCAGACAACGGCCGTGCAAGTGAAGGGTCATTTTTTCGCGTGAAAATACTATATTTTAAACAACAAAATGGAAACTCAATCCAATGAAAATTCTCTTTTATTCTATGCTTTACAATTATATACCTTTTCTGTCAATTCAGAATGTGTTTTGGATGTGTTGACGGTGTGTTGATGCTTCTGTCACGTGTTGACGCTGTGTTGACACTTTTTAGTGCGACCCCCATAAATGGGAAAAATTCTGCCAACCGGACACCACTTACCTGCCGCCAAACATCCAAATTTTCACCTTACCTTGTGATTTCAACCAAGAGGAATCCAGGAAAGAGTGGACATGCGAAAAAAAATTGGTAAAAATGTGTTTTTGGAGCACATTTTGCATGCACATGTAGTGCAGATCTGAGTTGAAGCAGCCGGTCAAAACTGATTGAAGTGTCTGGAACAGCGGTACGTTATACGCATGACATCAATAACCATGACGTCGCATGAGACGTCGCATGAGCCGGCCAATGATAGTGCAATACGTCATTATGAATATTTATTTTCTCATGAATATTTAGTTTATTTCAATGGATACTTCAAATACGTCCAAAGATTGATCATTGCAACAGCGATCGTGCGCGGCCTAGCGGTTAAGAGACTCGTGTATCAAGCAAGCGTCCGAGGTTCGAATCTCGATGAAGTGAGCGACTGATTGATAAAAAGAAATTAAGGAAAAGAGGGGGTGAGAGTAGAGGAGGGAAAGTGGAGAGAATAACCATAAAAGAGGTAACTTTTGGTGCTAGAAAATTAATTGAAAAAAGTGGTGTCCGGTTGGCAGAATTTTTCCAAAATGAATCTGGAAATTTCACGAAAAATCTACATCTGAAAAAGGCAGCACTTTCTGATTAGCCTATATAGAGGGTGAGAATGCTTCTTAAGCAAAAAAAACCTACAAAGTAAGCCTAAATGTGAAAATCAAAATTTGGCAAAGTCGACACGTTTTTGTACATGTGGATGTGTGGCCTATGTTTACGGAGGCAGTCCAGTAAATAGGCCACATTTATGGGGCTAGATATGCCGATAACTTCCTTGAATTCTTCACATTACTAGCTATAATTTGATGTATAACTTGACATATTTACATAACTTTTGTGAAATTGGGTGCCGCGATCGCTATGATGTTCACAATAGTGACACACAAAGTAGCCCCTAGCTCTACTGAGTGGAGCGTTGAATTACGGGTACCCCTCCATACCAACGCTCCACCGATTCGCCATACTTTGGTAGCACCATCACAGTAGCATAGTCACAAACCCACGCGAGGACAAAAAGACCCCAAAAAACCGGTAAAGAGATTACAAATGAGAGAGACAGTTATCCTGGATTGATCTATACATTCTTGACATTCCATGAGACCCCTTATATTGTTCCCAAACAGCGAACATTTTGGGAAAAAACAGCAAAATGGTCTGAAAACTTACAGTTCAATGTGTTTGCATGGAGGCTCAGTTCTTGAATTAGCTTGTCAATGAGGGCGTCTGACGTGACATCCCGGTCGTTGCTCGATCGCGAAGAAAAACAAGTCGCGCTTTATCAACGACTGTTTCGTGTAATGATACGTGCTCCGATCCGCGCCGTACGACAGTATGGGCTTTGAACACACCCAGGGTGGAGACGGCTGAAACGTACACGTTCTAAACAAATTAATGACTCGCGAGGGCGCGAGTTGCAAATGCGACGGCTGTTTCCTGTGCCGTAGATCCTGAATAGAGATCAGTGCACGTGGCCCCCAGACGATAAATGCATGGTACAGGAAACGGCCGTCGCATTTGCAACTCGCGCCCCCGCTCGACAAGCAATTTGCATAAACGCGACGTCACAGCTTGAGGTCATCTCTTGTCACATTCAAAATGGCTGCAATCACCGGACGTTTCACGAGTGCATATGGGCTCCAGAAAGATTCAAGAATATCTCGGAAAATTGAACATCATTACACCTACATCCCAGAAGTGATAGATGGGACATCGTAGAATACAACCATATGTAAGAAATTCCCTGCAATTTTTATGAAAACGTCCTCAGTAGTGCGCGGACCACGGTGTGTGGCCTTAGGTTCAGCGCAGCATACCGACGGCCACACTAGTGGGGCTACACACAAAGTAACAACTTTATTATCTTTAAAACGACGTAGCTCAAAACCAAAAGAAATTTTCAAAAACAAATTGCACCACTGATTCTCTCTCAACAAGAGCTTTAATTTGATGTATAACTTGATAATTTTAGACAATTTTTTAAAATTAGGGTGTTATACCTTTACCTATTATCGTTCGAAATGCACTTGTGTTTACAAACGTGCCCCAGTCATTATCATAATCGATGCATCACGCGTGCTCGGTAACGGAATCGCACTCGGGATACGGGGACCATTGAATGAACGCTGGGCACGAAGACCACATCGCGTCATTCAAACATTTAACACGAGTCGGAAATTTCACGTGTTCACGATTGCGAGGGGAGCTCTCGGAATTGAACAGGAAATTTCACTTTTCATCCGGATCGTAAGTAAACTTCAGTACAACCATCTTAATTATCCATGTCTACTTGTACAGTACCTCAGGTAAAGTTGATAGTGGATATTTTGCTGACGGTAATACCAGCAAGCTAACGTTTACTAAAGGTTTGCCGGCGGCAATCCCTATCAACAGAGGGTACTGTACTCTCTAAGATAGGGCTGAATTATAAGATATATTAAATTACCACCAACGATTGTGCAGCACCTCTGGTCTGGTGGATAAGTAATGGATCTCATGAGCGGGAAGACCCGGGTTCAATCCCGATCCCCGCTGGCGACAATTCTAAGGTTTTTTTTTCTCATCCCCCAAAAATAAGAATATTCTTCTTTTAATTTTTAACATGTCTCAAACATTTTATTGCAGAGTATTACATTTTCTTTCTCAGATTTGTGGCTCTGGAGGTTTTTTTTTTAAAGGGAAATAAAGTCCAACATGGTAAAATGGTCAGATTCCCATCTTGTGAATACGAAGTTACAACAATAATTATGTGGGCATGGAGCCAGACTAAAATTTGTCACCGGAAAATGTCTAAGTACAAAAAAAAAAAAAAAGTACATGTAACTGCGCATGTTCAGTGCATATCCGGCATGCTAACGTTTCCTAAAGGTTTGCCGTCTCCGGCTAAATACCCACTGCCATAAAAGTTCATTCATGAGAATTCCAGCAAATTTAGAAAAGAGAAAAACGTAAATGATTTTGAAACGTTTGTCTGCAGCACAACGGCACGAAATCATGCTTGGACCGAAAACATTTGACACAGCACAGAATACGTCACACAAAATCGATTAACGCACGTGTAGTTCAGTCGTCAGTGCACGCGTGATCCGGAACTAGGCAAACACATTCGGTCATTCGTTGGCGAATTTTTTAAAATTAGAGACTCTGCAACTTATTTTGATTTAACAAACATTCGATGGAAGAGTTTATACGACTGTAGTGTATGAACAAAATATTCGAAATCACACGGTGCGAGTGATGTGCAAAGGAGAAAATTTTTCGTCGATTCGCAGCTCTCGCGATTTTCTACAAACCGTCCAAACATTTCAAAGTGCGTTCAGAAATCTGGCCAAAATTCCTCTTCTAAAGATTTTATCGAAAAGATCTCTGTGTATCAAGAAGCTTACATTTTCCTTTTCAAAATGCACTTCGTCAGAAAAAAAATTATTGGAGACTATTCCAAAAGAGGTAGGTTTTTATTTGAAGCTATCCGGAACTAGGAAAAATCCGGAACTAGGAAAACGACTGTATTTGTAATAAGTACAAAAATGTACATCATCATCAAAGTGTAGTCTGTTGCCAGAAAACTGCTGCACAGTTTTCCCCCAAACTCCGTATCGGATTCTGTCCCGATCTTTGCAAAAAAGATGAAAAAAATCCGCGTTCTGTACTGAGCAACTGGAGAAGTTGCACGTTCATGAATATCGCTTACGATTGACTTGTGTGCGTGCGTGCGCGTGCGCACGGGTAGCATCAGACAGGCCAATCACAGTTAGTCTGGTTCCCTGACCCCATCATCATTCGAACATCAAAAATGGGGAAACAGTCTAAATCACAGCGTGCTCTGATTCAGCCTCGACTCCATGGGCACGTGCGCGTTCCTTCACTAACCCCTGGCCGCGATGAACACGTAATCGACGCTGACCGGCTATTCAGAGCATACTGCGAGCGCATTTCGAAGACTGCACGCCCTATAATGCGCTCACGTGCTATGCACGTCATGTCACATACAATCATTTTTTTTCAAAACTGCACGATGCCTGTATAATATGGATTATGGTAGCCTCGTTTTTTTTGCCCCAAAATACCTGTATCGTTGGTTGT